TGTTGATATTTTTATGGTTCAAAATTAAAACATGTCATACGCAGTGTTGCCACTAAATGTCATACAGCAGAGCAAAGCTTATCGAAGCACCGGCTGTGCCACTTGCTGCGGCCTTGTCACCGGCTCAGCTGACGGGCAGGGAACCTGTTATAATTACCGCAAGGTTGGGCTAATTCCTGCACATCATTTTAATGGCATCAGCAGCGGGACCGCTGCAGCAACAGCCTCTGGCGGAAATAATTAAAAATACGTTAAGAGCAGCACAGCGATGATGGTACAGCTTCGAGTAGTTCCTTGGCAAATAAGTCAACTGTCGAACTGCTCTCTGTTCTCTGCATTTTTCCCGCAAAATATAAACACGTTTTGCTCCACAGAGGATGGAGGAGGAGCTGTAGCTGTAGCTGAAGGCTACAGTGCTCGGGGGACAATGACAGGTAAATATTTTACGTGCACGAAACAAACTTGAAAACTCTTCGATGAATATGGAACATTTCAATATGTCGCCTGTCGTCTGTCGCATGTTTCCTGTCTCCTGTCTCCTGCAGTTGCGTAAGAGTTTTGCAATTAGTTTCGAAAATGAAAGGCACGTAGCCCGAGCAGTACTGTACCGGTGTACTGGAGTACTGCGACTGCCAGGCACGTAAGCAGTCCTAACGAGGATAGCAAGTGTTGGCATAGGATCCAGGCAGAATGTCCTTGAACCAACAACTCCTCTCAAGGAACCTGGCAACTACAAGTAGTTGGCATACATTGTTTGCTCAGGCATCTACAGATGTACGTATGCAAAGGGGAAAACTCAGCCACAGAGAATGTAATGTTTGGACTAAAAGTTGACTCATCTTTTATCTCAATTAGTTGATTAATTGATTGCGTATCCTGGTATCTGTTGCTATGCACCCAGCCAGAGATTATCAGCCTTTTCTTGTAACTAAATAAACCTCTCATAGCTCAGAATCAGCAACAGCAACAGCTTTAACCCAGCCCCAGCAGCAGTTTTCATCTCCTCTCATCTTTCATCTCATCAAACTGTCAGCGGCAGGTGGACATTCTCAAAGCAAAGTTTAGCAGCATAATAAAAGTTATGGCATGTCAGCGGGAAAATAGAGATAAACAAAGATTGTTATTGCAGCGGATTTAAGTGCTCCAAGAAGGGTATAAGAAAATGAACCAGCATCCTGGACGTGCCATTTGCTGGAAGACTGCCACAATTTCACGTTAATCAATGATAGCCCCAGGGGATGCTTACCCTATCGCCGCACATTCCGCGTCAATGAACACCAAAAAATTAAGCTTATTAAGTGCCGCGCTTGGGCAAAAAATAAAAAGAAAGAAATCTTTTTGCGCTGCGTTGGCAGCAATTAAAAATCTCGCTTCACCTGCTGCTGCTGCAGCCACGGCTAATAATGCTACTGTGGTGGCTGTTGCTGTTGCTGCTGCTGCTGCTTCTGAGTTGCCAATTAATAGTTCTCTGCTTATTCTTCTTTAAATCATGGTGCAACAACCACACCACAAGGGCTCTCTCGCTCTCTCTCTCTCTCTCTCTCTTTGAGAGGCGAAGGAAATGCACCAAGGCGGAAAAACCTTCTGCTTGGAGCAAACTACAAAGAAAAAATAAATGTTGGGAAAGCCAGAAACCGCTAGAAGATGGCAGAAACGCTGTGCCAGTGTTTGTCTTGGGCAAAACTTTCTACCTCTTCTGAGCCAACACTTATGTATGTGTTTGTGTATCTATGAGAGGCATCGCCAGCTCCAGCTGAGAAAATATTCTTATCTGCATTGAGGCAAAATTTTCCCTCTCTTTCTCTATCTCTCAAATGTCTGTGTATCTGTATCTGTGGCGCTGCCAATTGTTGTTGGCCCGAAAGGAACTCTTGGCAAGATTCCCCCCGTGTTTTCCCGTTGGTGGCAGAATGCGGCTGCCTAAATGCCCGCCATTTATTTGTGAATGGCACTCGACTCCACACAGACGGCAGATAGAAAGGATAGTAGGGACCAGAAATCGCCAGGGACGCGCTGAACGTGCCGCTGCATGGCGAACAAGAAGTTTGCCAGAAACTTTACCACATCCTCAAACTATTTTCCATAAACTTTCCATCAAGCCCTGCAACTAATCAGGCTGGCAGCCAGCAAACCATTTAGGAGCTGCTTCACTTAAATCTGTCGGCATCTGTCGGCACATACACACACATATCGTTTAGTTCGTATTCCAACGAGTGTCAGTGGAGCGCGTGGCTGGCTTTCAATTAAATTTCAAATGCAGCTAAATGCTGAAAAATGCACATTCACGCCACTTCACATCAGTCATGCATGGCTACACATAAATCAAAATAATTTACTGCACTGATGCCCATGCCCCTGATCCTGATGCCGCGGATGCCGATGCGGAATTTATTGAAATTCCATCAAACAAAAAAAAAAGCAAAGGGATATAAAGGATGCAATTGAAAATTGCACGCTGGATGGCTGCAGCAGGAATGCAGACACAAAAACAATCCCATTGAATGGGGTTTCGGGTTTCGTTTTTACATCCCCTGCAATTGGTAATTCAATATGCTGATTTTTGCCAAACCCACTGCCTGCCTCCGCCCCTCCTCCTATGTATTGCCTGCTTGGCTGCCAGTCAACACTCAACACTCGTCGCGCGCTCTCACTCGTATGCCAATAGAAATGCCAACGCGTCTCACTTGACCAACTTTTGGGCGCCATGTGGCGCTGCTGCTGTTCAAGTGCCATGCAAGGGAGCAGCCGGAGCAGCAGCAGCAACAGTCAGGAGCAAGTCAGGAGCCAGTCAGGAGCAAGTCAGAAGGCAACCTGGCAAGTATTGGGTAAAAAGTTTGACATTCTGCCCGACAGCGTTTCATTTCAATTAAAAATTGCTTAACAAATCAATTTGCTGTTGGCCTGACACAAAACTGATTAAGAAAACGGCAGCACAGCCCATAAAAGCAAACAGAGCCAGAGCAGAAACTATAAGAAAAACTATAACGCCAAGAAAATGCAATTTAAATCAAGAAGGCAGCAAGAAAAAATTTTCCTTCGAATCAAGCGAACATGCAATACCCTTTAAAATAAAAAATTTACTTTTAATAACAAACATTATTTCTTGGCTTTCGTTCAGAGCAAAATTTCACATCTGAAGGCTCATTTAAGTTAAAAAAGGATACCTGGGATATCTTTTCCAGCGTTCAGTGCTACTAAAAACTGCTCTTAATATATTGCATACCCTTCTTTTTGAATACCCTTTCTTGGCATCGGCTTGAAACGAAATCCCAGCTATTCCCACTAGAGTCCCAGGGTTTCGTAAGCCCACTCAGGCGGTGCTTAATATGCCGCCAGCGCAAATTGAATTCTTTAGCTGCGGCAGCGCAGCGACTCCTCCCAGAGGAACGCAAGGACGGCAGCTCCGACGTGCAGTGCGGCAACTAAATTAATTTATTTGTTAAACTTTGCGATGTCAGAGCGACAAAGTCAAAGTTTTTTAGCGCGCCGAAAAGGAAAAATAATCAACTACAATAACTAAAACAAACAGCAAGCAGCAGCAAAGCAGCAGTGTGGTGTGCTGCCTTCAGGGTGGCTTATCCAGAGAGTGTTCCCGAGGTGGCTGCGGTCCAAATGCGTTGGCAAGCTCTGCATCTTTAGGGACTTATGCGCCAAGACTTTGTCATAAAGTTGCCACCGAGAAAGAGTCGAGCCACAGGGAAAGATTGGAAGCAAGGTGAAGAGTGATGGAAGCCCTTCCAAGATTAAGGCGACATAAAACTAGAACACCTTGCACCGTTGGCTGCCTAATGAAGGGGCAAGTAATGGAGTCGAGTAAACACAAACTACTCGTACTATGAGCAAATAAAACTCTTATCCATTCCACTGCGCTTCGGGCTTCGGGCTCCGGTCTCCGGTCTCAATTAAATTAAGTGCTGTCAGGTGGCAGATTAAACCCCTTTGTTCGGTCCAATTACTCTCTCAGCATTCGATGGCAAGTTCATTTCAAAAATTGCATTAAATTATGCGGTAAAAATGATTAAACTCCGATAGATGGATACCTTTTTCACATGTGGGGCACGTAATTGAATTTGTCTCCGTGTGTATATCGCTTGCAATAAAAACTGAGGGGGACACATGTTTCGTCCTTTGTGTGTAAGCAACGCCCAGATACAAGGTGAATCAACTCCTGCTCCACTCCCACTCCCATCACCATCCCCCTCCTCATTTGCCGCATATGTGGCACGGCCGCAAGCCACGCTTCTCCGCCAGCAGCAACAGCAACAGCATATACTCGTAAATCAGATTTCGCAATTAAGCCTTCATTGAAATTCAGGCGTAAAATGTAAATTTATTATGGAAACCACCAAAACGATGCCGTGGGCGGGGGCAGGTGCGGATACATGGGGTACCCTCCCTCCCCCCCAACCACCACGAAAGCCAATTGACTAACTGGCTGACATATTAAAGCCAGACTGCCACGCTTTACGTGATGCTGGTATAGCTTCTGATTAAGAAAATAAATGGAGAGCAGATTAGCATATTTCCTTAATTTAACGAGCAGTTGGCTTCATGTAAAACAGGACAAGAAATGTATAATTAATACGAGGTTTATATAGATTCGATCTCCGAACACACTTCCCCAGTTAATGTATTAACCAGTGGCAGAGCCACTGTCAATTATTGTTGGCTCATTGCACTGCCCACTGTACTGAATGTTACATATGTACATATCCTTCCTGCTCTTGCGCTCTAGCTCTCTCCGTTTGTCACTTTCGTTTGCTCTGGCTCTCACAATCTCTCGATCTCAAAGAGCTAAGATAGTGGATAGTAATTAAATTAAATTAAATCATCTCAAACATATTCTTGCACTAGTCTTCCACTGACATCCTCTTGAATCGAAGCTTTACACATAGCTTACCCATATCTAACTTTATAGAAATTAAGAACAATTTCCACGAAATATAATTGGAATATGTGATCCACAACGGTACTACTTAATAGCTCAACGATCCACTCACCTTTCTACGTCCACAACAAAGCATTCTTCGCACACGCGAATTTCCAGTAGCTGCTTTCAATCGAGTAAACTTCTTCTTCCACTGCATTTATTAGTGGGTATCCGATGGGGGAATTGTTTTCCTTTTCGTTGGCCCTTCTCCTTGGCTGGGTGAGGGGGTGATGCGTCGGGCTGGTCGTGTGGCAACTGTGCTTTGAATTGCCGACTCTTATCTAACCGGTGATGATACTGGATGCAATGGCGATGGCATTGGATAAATGCTGCTGAACACGTTCCATTTGGTTGCTTATAAAAGTTGATATAAAAATGCAAGTTCAATTTATTCGTTGCTCGTGTTGAATTCCTGCAAGCAGATGGAAGAGTTGAGGGAATAATGAGTTAAAAACTGTCAAAAACGAGGGCCAAAACACATCAGCAAGTATTTACTGTCACTTGACGCACACACACAGTAGACAAACAGACAGACAGCGCACACACAGATACACTTTGTGACAGGCATCGTGTGCGTGTTTAACTTAATGAAGCTTTACACTTCGCGAGCCTCTGGCACTCCAGCTCCAGCTCCTGCTCCTACTCCTGCTCCGGCTCTTCTGACATGTGTCATATGCATTTGCCTGACAGGGCGGCATTCGAGGACTTGGACAGTTCCCTCCACACTCGCATACGCATACATGCATATGGGGTGTGTGTGTGTGTGTATACACAAACATTCTTGTGTTATGCATATATCGAGTAACTGTCTACGTCTGATTTTATGGCGCTGATAATGCAATGTTTGCCCTGCTCCTTAGCCCTGTCCGTCGTCTATGGCCAAATAAAATGTTGTTCGTTAAGCAGACAGATAACAACGAAGAAAGGGGGAATGGGTAAACAGAGAACAGAATTATGTAAATGAAATACCCTTTCAGATCTTGGGTTAAGTCTCACTGGAGGAAGTCTTTTCTATACGATATGTGATGTGTAAATATCTTTAAATTTGAGAGTATATTTTTCCTTTGTGCAGACCTACTGACAGTAGGCTGTTGCTGTTAGGAGTACATCCATGACGAAGAGAGCCTCTACAACATACATGCATGTACGTATATATTTTATAGCATTTTTCACTCCTTGCTTTTGCTTCAATGCAAAATGATGTGCCAAATTGTCATAGCCTATCCAAAGGGTATATAAAATAGAGGACATAAAAAAGGGAGGACATAAATGGGTCGCCTGCCCAGGCTGACACTTTGCCCTCTTGGGCAGCGCAGCCCTTAAAAGTATGCAATACATTTCAGCACTTGTCATTGCCTCGAATCGAAATTCCATGTAGGCGAGTGCTGCGACTCCAGCCAACGCAGCCTTGCCCCACACACACACACACAAAAAATATTTATGCAAATGAAGGAGCCTAGGAGCCTCCTAGCAGGCAGCTGGCGGCTGACTGGCCTTTATGGCTAATTGTGTTGGCCTGGTTTCCGCAACTTAAATTCGCTTCAAAGCCCTGCCTGCCCTGCCTGCCCCGCCCTGCCTGCTTTCAGACCAAAACGATCTTTTATGCTGTTCGGAAGCGCCTTTAAGTTCTTGTGCAAGGTAATGGAAAATGTTTTCAGCATAGATAAAAATGGATTTTCATTGCACTTACACAATAAACAATAAGTTAACACTTTTAGATGCTTTTGCTAATGTCTTTGGCAAGTTTCTCCATTCGAGGAAACAAAGGGCTGCCCTGTGCTCTGTGCCTTTAATGAATGTTGATATAATTTTTAATTAAAAACTATTTTCTGCTGCCTGGGACTGTTGCTCTTCCGCAGCCAAAGACCAGACAGAGCGGAAGAGAATTGTTTACACGGCACAAGCAGGCCCTGTGCAGTTGCTGAGAACTTGTGCAACTGTTTAGATAAACCCCAATGCCCCTTGCAAAACGAGTATATGGAATAGATGTTTCCCCATTTCCCCTGAGAGAGAAGGAGCAGCAGACTTGTCTGCTCTTTGGAATTAAAGTTATTAGCGCCGCAAATCCCTCAGGAAATAACACTGGGGTGGAGTCCCGTTTTCTGTGTGCTGACACATCTAGAGAGCTCCGTCGTCTGGTCAATACAATGCGGAACAGGGGAAAAAGGGGTAGCAACCGCAGAGAAATAGAAAATCAACAGCAAAGAATTTTTAATTAAGTGGCCACCAGGCATATGGACATGGCGTGGCTGCTCAGCCCCCCAACCGTACCGCATACATGCCATCCTGATGATGTCGCGTCGGAGACCGCGTCATCGTCATGGCGAGCACGTATGTAGCTGGGGCATGGCTCTGGCACATTGCCCACAGCTCCAACCGAGATTTTGTTGCCATAAAACACTTTGTCTGGCCTGCACGAGCCCAGGCCCACCCCCTACTCTCCGTAATTGCAATGAAAAATGTTACAATCGTGCCCAGGACATTCAAATGTACATACAAAGAAGAATGCCATGCATACGTTAAAGAAGGGGGGAGGCGGGGTCCAGCTGCTGCCCCGACAACTGATTTTCTTGCCAGCCAGCCAGCCAGCAGCATCTCCGGCCCTTCAATGCGATTGTCCTGGCGTGCAACGGAGGAGAAGAATTCCTATTCATAATTTCTATTGCAAGGGGAGAGCAGGGGGAAACAGGCAGATACAAGATACTTTGTGTCCTGTGCAACAGCAGCGACAAAGTACAGCAATCAGCCAGGAAAAATGTTGCATGGGTGTTGATGAAACAGACGCAACAACGACAACAACAACAACAGAAATTACAACATTTAGAAGGCTGCAAAACAACAGCAACACCAACAACAATTACAGCACAACATTGAGAAGGGATGAACAACTCTGGCAGTCGCCGCCACTGGCAGCCAGTGGGAAATGGAATGTTGTCTAGGCACGCATAAAATTTATTATAATGACATCATAAATTCTAGCAGCAAACGATGTAAGTATGTATTTGTGTGTGCATAAATGAGTGACAAAGCTCCATCCACGAAGCTTCCGCGTAACGCCCTCGGGCCACAGAAATTGCAAATCATTTATCAAATAATAAAAAACAGAAAAATATTCGCAAAACTCAGCAAAAATGTTAAGAGAAATAGGAATTTTTTTTCCTTCGCATATAAATTGCACTGAAAAAATCATAAGAACTAATGGAAGACTCGAATAGGGAATGGAATACTTAATGAATGATCGTATAAATAGAAATAGCTATACATATAAGAAAAAACACTCAACAGCAAGTTATTTCTGTGGTGAATATAAATAATCTCCAATGTAAGTATATTTTGATTGTTTATTTTGAGGTAAACAATCGGCCCCGAAATATCTCTGTGTACTCTATGTTGTAAGATTTAATGGGGTCACTCTTAAGCAATCCATAAAGAAATGCTTGAGGTAGAATGCAATGCAGCAAAATACGCAATTCAACCAAAAGAATATACAGAAAAATTTAGATAGTTTCTCTAATGTTGAAGGCTTGGACATGAAATCTTAGCAATTTTAATAGGTATCCTCTTTTTTTAATGCATTTTCCATAACTATATGTATTCTAGAACAACTTCCAGTACATCCAAAGAAAAAAGTACGTAAATTTAAATATTTACACTCGGACTTACAATAAATTCGAAACCTTTAACCTAATAAAATCTTTAATTACTTCTATCTTACAAACCGAACTCTTTACTCTCTACTGCTATTATGCATACATTTTCAATCAATATATTTTAACTTCACACTTCCATCCATGTTTCTCAGTGTAAGGTGCACCCCCATGGATAGGCAGTGCAACGTTGAAGGGGGATCCAGATCCAGTGTAGAGAAAGCATAGCGGATTTATCGATTGCCTTTTTTTCGTATTTTTTTGGACCCAATCCTAACCCCATCGCATTTTTTGATATTGTTATTGCTGCGTTCAAGTTTATCTCCATTTCGTGCTGCCAGCCCCTTTGGCGCAGACATTAACTGGCATGTAGTGGCACCACCCAAAAAGACGAGACCCACCACCAGCACCAGCGACGACTGTCACAAGGGTGGAGACAGAGCGGCACTCCCGCATGCACACACACACACACTCACACAATGAAGCATTTGTGCATTTGTGGCGCCCCATGTGGCATTTGTTGCCGCTTTCAAGTCCACAGCTAGCACGCTGCTTTGTCACCCGCCACTCGCCACGGTCGCCACTGGACAGAGAGTCGAAGTCGCGTTAAACTACCAAAAATATGTACAAAACCATGGAAACCGACCAGGAAAACCGCTTTGCCCACTGTGAAAAGGGGACCAGGAATGGTTTTATCTAATTAGGGAATGCAGATGCAAAGGATGGAATTACATACGGTGCACGTCAATGGGATACTGTTGATGATAACACCACGCGCACAGGATCTCTCTTTCCCCTGTCCCAATTATATTATTAAATAATAATAATAATTTAATAATTGGGTAAATCATTTCAATCATGAGTGCATGTACATTTTCTGTATTATTTGCTCATAATATTATACGCACATGTATCTATCAGCCTGAAGACTTCCCTGGTTACTGATTTTCTGAAGGATATATACAAATTTTCCAAGAAACTCGAAGAAGCCTCCGCTTTCTTATATTGATTATAAAAGAACCTTTGAACGCATAGCAATGCCTCCTTGCTGGGATGATCTCATATCTACAATGTCCAAGCAGTAGGTCATACTTTCCCAAGATAAACCACGAGTGAGTAATTTTTGGGACTATAATAGAGAAACCATGCCTATTCCCATTCCCTCGTTTATCTGACTGCCTTTTCTCATTTTTGTTTCTACTATAGTTACGAGCATTCTTGAGATTTTTCTATATTTTGCCACTGTATTTCTGAAAACAGTTTGCCACATTTACAGCACCACAGCTATTTTTCTAGGTTTTCCTTGAATTTCCTCCTTTTTTTTTGCTCTCAACATTTTTTGTATGATTTGGAACCCCATACGAATTTTTCTCGTCTGTTTGCCTGTAAAATTGGAGCAAAGCTCTTAACTCTGAGGGTAGTTTGGTGGGTCCTAGGGGATGTGGTGGTGGTGGAATAGCATTGCGGCTTTGAATGAAAAAAAAGAAGGAAAAAACATTTCTGATTGTTAATGTCGCGGTTAATGTTTTGCTTTTTGTATCTTACTCCCTCTCTTGCCTCCCCCTCAGTCGTACTTTGTGCTTTATATTTCATGTACTTTTTTTTCTGCCTGTTGGTTTCTCAGATGGGGGGAGCTGGTGGGAGAACTGTGAAGACTTTGATGCTGGGCCAGTAACAGCCACATATACGACTTCTCCATCTGGCTCCCCCATTGTTTTGATGAAATGTTCTGTTATGATTGCGGGATGTTGGGATGTTTTTGCAGAAATTCCTTTCTTAATTAAAAAATGAAATAATTGAAATTTCCGGAGGCAAATGTAATAAAGGACTTCAGCAAGAACGAAAACAGCACAGAAGAAGAAGTAAAAGTGCAAAATATATCCTCAGAAATTTAATCTAATTGAGGAATGCTGCAAATGTTCTTTGACTTTGAATGAGGAATTTCAATCAATTATGCGTTCCATTTCCTCCGTTTCAATCTGCTTGATTTTAGTTTGTTTAAAGGCTAAATAAATAATAGTTATTTTATTAGAGCCATCACCACCCGTCACCTTGCAGTCCTATTGAAGGGTAACTCTTCATCGTCAATGACATTTGCATTGATCCGGCTTACGCTTTTCATTTAAGTGGAATATCTAACAACTAACGGCCACTTGACACAATCAACTGTCATTCCACATCGCAGGAGCTTTCCGCCCTGAATAGTTTGCGCCTTAAAGGATTTATCCCACCATATCCCGAAGCCGAACCCGTACCCGTACCCGTGCCCACTCACCTGCACTTTGGTACAGGAAGCCTGTCCTGAAGGCTGACGCTTGATGCCCGACGCTCGACGTTTTGTCTAATCCGTGCCAACGGTTGGCCGAGTTATGAAAACATGAAATCACAAATTGCAAACAACATCATCATCATCGTCAGCCAAAAGGAGCGAAAGGAGGTGGATGCACTCGTAGTAGTGGAAGGGGGTTTTTTGTGGGGGACTGAGAGCAGTAGCTGGAACCGGAGCAAGCTGCAGTAACCGGTAGTAAATGTGCCGTGTTGTAAATCAGATGCAGCGTAGAATACTCCGTTACTCTTTTTCGCTCTCTCTCTCTCTTACTATCTCTCTCTGCTTACCGATGTCTCTGGCCGCCCCTCTGGGTGAGTGTCTTTTTATTTCGACTTCGATTTGTTTTAATTTCCGCTGATTCTAGTGCTGCTGCTGCAGCGCTTCCGGCACAACGTTCGTCCGTTAGTCCGGCAGTGACAATGTGGGGTGGATGCGACGAGGCCTGGGCTACGTGGATTTAGTAGATGTTGTAGGCGCTGGATTTACTGTTAGAGACAAATTGCTGGTTCGGTGGTCAATGGCACGAAGATGCATCCTTGCACTTTTTGGGCATACTCTGCACGCTGCACTCTCCTCCCTGCACTCCCTGCTGCTGTTCGTTGCTCGTTTCTCGTTTGCCGTTTCACATTTTTCTCTCCACTGCTACTGCTGCTACTGCTGCTGCTGCGGCGACTGCGACGTTTTTGCTGCGGCATTTTTTGCGTAACTTGTGAGCTTTTGCACATTTCACAGTTAATTTTGACATGTTCGCTGGCGAGGGGATTTTTTTTTGTCCACGAAAAAATTGCAACTTTCTATCTATTATTTTATCTCTCGTTTATTTTTCTGTTATCTCTTGTATTCCTCTTTGCTTTTAATTGATTTTTGCACGTGTGTGGGTGTGAGAGAGTGTATGCACGAGGGTGTTTGAGTTTGTGTATGTGTGTGTGTGTTTGATGCAGCAGCAAGCAAGCAACGGAATGCGTCCGAATGGCAATGCGAAGCTTTTGCTTGTGGAGCGCGCTTTACTACGTACGGAGTGCTTCTGGCCTGAAAATGCGAATTTCCTGCGCTCTACTCCTACGTTACTCCGTGTGTGTTGTGTGTGTATGCGTATGGATTTCAGTATGAATTTCAGTATAATAAAATATCCTGTTTGGAGGGGCGCCCGCTCCCACTTGCCCACTGATACCGCACTCTGTGAGCGCGAACAGAGAGAGGGTTTATGTGTGTTGTGCGCCTGCGCCTCAAATTTGGAGCAAGTCTATGCTTCGGGGCGAACGGCGATAACACTATGACTCCCACACCACCACCACCACCACCGCCAACCCTATCATTCACTCGGTCTCTCTCCCTCCCTCTCTTCTTTCTCTATGCTTTTTTCCACTTTGCAGCGCCGCGTTTTTCCAGCTATTCTTTGATATTTATGCACATTATTACACGAAACTATTTCTCACGCCGGGTATCGAGGGTCTTTTCTCTATGATACAGTTTAAAACGGCTCTAGTTTATATTGCTCAGAGGTCTTTAACGCTGAGTAACGACTAGCAACACTCGCCGTGACCGATGAGAGTGAAATGCACTGCTGTTGGGGCTGTATTCTCCCACCCATTACTGGGTCTCAGTGTTGAAAAGGAAGCGAGTTTCATTATCTCTGGTTTCGCAAATCGAAGCCGCCGTTAATTTTGATTGTTGGAGCAGCAATGAGTTCCGTTCAACAAAAACTGTAATGCCTGAGCAGTCAGTGCCGAAAATAACGGTAATCAGCGCCTCCTAAATAACGCAATGAATAGCACATGTTAATGGATGCACTATATTACAATTACAATTATTATGAGCCTTTCTTGTCGAAGCTCATAACGTTTCAGACTTGCCAAACAAATCACAACGTTCCAAGTTTAACCCTGGACAGTCATCCTAATTTTTTTTAGAATAACGTTATACCAAAGATTCTATAGAATTATACGTTAATCCGTGACGTTGAAGTCCTTAAAAATAACATCCTCTACTGTCAGATAAAATAGTTTCATATCAGCCAGCTTCTGATTCATTTCATCCACTCAGAGTTTCATATCAGCCAGTATATTTTGAAAATGACACCGTATATTGCGGTATATTTCTGGGGTATTTTTGAGCTCACTCTTGAAGCGCCTAAGTGGGTCGGGAGAGCGTAAATTGCTCTCTTTCGACTGCCAGTGAAACTCGATTTAGCGCACAAAAAACTGACATGTTTCGCTCTAAATCGTGGTGGTTTTTCAAAATTTTCTCTCTTTTTCGAGGTAAAGAGAGTGCTTTCGTGGTGACTTTCCCCCCTTTTTCGTGGTGTGAGCTGCATGTTACTAACGGGAACGAATGAAGATTCATTGTTGCGTCATTCCATACGCGTTCCCGTAAGATACATTTGATTTGTATGGGAAAAATTTCAGCAACATGGGGAAATGAAATCGCAGCATTGTTCTGCAACTTTGGCACGAAGTGAGCAACAAATCTGCACACCTTGGGAAAATGGATATTATGGACTAGAGGTATTGTTGGTAATTTCAGACTCCAATTAATGCAGAAAATACTTAGTCTCTCTTATAAAGATATTATATCTTTACCAATAATAGGTATCAGAACCGGGATAAATGTATATATAAAACACAAAACATATGCATTAATAGGTAAATAACATATCAATCTTATAAAAATTCATTATTAATGTTTTAAAGCAGCTTGGAACAACAAATTTAACATCAATTAGAGGAAATATGGTATACAAATGTCCATACGCATGCAGAAACTTGGTTGACCAGCAACAATTACGGAATATGACCAGAGTTCACACTTATGTTTTATGCTTTGGCCGTTTTTGTTTGAACTCTATTATGTTAACAATGCAATAAAACGGAGATCTGAAAACTACCCAATCTGATACCAAATTGATTGAGCAATTGGATAAAATTATTTGTTTAGAGCTAAGAGGGCTAACTAGCTAGTAATACTAATTCGAATATCTAAATCGAGGAATATCAACGCATCCGTCAGTATATTTGCGGTATATTTTGACAAGGACAAGGTATATTTCGTTATATTTTGGTATATTTCGGAGTGTATATTTTCCGCGGTCACACTGTGTATTTGTGGCAACGAAAAAAAAATATTCTTTTAGTTGCCCCGCCTTTATTTATTAACTTTTTAATCAATTGACGCCGTTGGAGTTATGATAAGAAGCCCAACATGACGGAGAAGATTACGCTTGCCGATGCACTGTCCAATGTGGAGGTGCTGGACGAGCTGTCGCTGCCCGATGAGCAGCCATGCATAGAGGCACAGCCCTGCTCCATTATCTACAAAGCAAACTTCGATACAAACTTTGAAGACCGTAATGGATTTGTCACAGGAATTGCCAAATACATAGAGGAGGCGACTACTCATGCGAATTTGGTAAGATAGGAAGCACTAAATAGGAAGAGAGACGAGACACACTCACACTCCCCCACCCTACCATAGAATGTTTTGCTGGATGAGGGACAGAAGCATGCTGTCATGCTGTACACCTGGCGATGCTGCTCACGGGCCATACCACAGCCCAAGTCGAACGAGCAGCCCAATCGTGTGGAGATCTATGAGAAGACGGTCGAGGTGCTTGCCCCGGAAGTCAACAAGCTGCTGAACTTTATGTACTTCCAACGCAAGGCCATCGAGGCGTTCTCGGGCGAGGTGAAGCGGCTTTGCCACGCGGAGAAGCGCAAGGACTTTGTGTCGGAGGCATACTTGCTGACGCTGGGGAAATTCATCAACATGTTTGCCGTCCTCGACGAATTGAAAAATATGAAGTCGAGCGTGAAGAATGACTATTCAACATATAGGCGGGCGGCGCAATTCCTGAAGGTAATGTCCGACTCGCACACCCTGCAGGAGTCGCAGAATCTCTCCATGTTCCTGGCCACGCAGAACAAAATTCGCGACACTGTGAAGGACACGCTGGAGAAGATTGTCGGCTACGAGGATCTGCTCTCGGATGTCGTTAACATCTGTGTGCACATGTTCGAGACGAAGATGTACTTGACGCCCGAGGAGAAGCACATGCTGGTGAAGGTGATGGGCTTTGGCCTGTTCCTCATGGACAGTGATGCGTGCAACATCAACAAGTTGGATCAGAAGAAGAAGATCCGCCTGGACCGCATCGATCGCATCTTCAAGAATCTGGAGGTGGTGCCCCTGTTCGGGGACATGCAAATCGCACCCTTCAACTACATAAAGCGGAGCAAGCACTTTGACTCCAGCAAGTGGCCGCTCTCCAGCTCGAACGCCATCAGCCCCCAGGCGGATTTGATGGTCCACTTGCCGCAGATACGCGAGGATCATGTCAAGTACATATCGGAGCTGGCGCGCTACACCAACGAGGTGACCACCACCGTGAAGGAGAATCCATCGGACGCCGAGAATCGGATTACGGCCGACTTGGCCCTGCGCGGCCTTCAGCTTCTGTCGGAATGGACCAGTGTGGTCACTGAGCTGTACTCCTGGAAGCTGCTCCATCCCACGGACCACCACCAGAACAAGGAGTGTCCGGTGGAGGCCGAGGAGTACGAAAGAGCCACTCGGTACAATTACACATCCGAGGAAAAGTTTGCCCTGATCGAGGTGATTGCCATGATCAAGGGCCTGCAGGTGTTGATGGCACGCATCGAGACGGTGCTGTGTGAGGCTATTCGACGCAATATTTACTCCGAGCTGCAGGACTTTGTTCAGCTATCGTTGCGCGAGCCCCTGCGCAAGGCAGTGAAGAACAAGAAGGATCTGATCCGGAGCATCATTATGTCGGTGCGAGAGACATCCGCGGATTGGCAAAAGGGCTACGAGCCCACCGACGATCCTGTGGCGAAAGGCAAAAAAGATCCCGATGGCGGCTTCCGTATCCATGTGCCACGCCTCAATGTGGGTCCATCCTCCACACAGCTGTACATGGTGCGCACCATGCTGGAGTCGCTGACAGCGGACAAAAGTGGCGGCAAGCGTACACTGCGCAAGGATATCGATGGCAACTGCCTCATGCAGATCGAAACGTTCCACAACACATCGTTCTACTGGAGCTATTTGCTCAACTTTAGCGACACTCTGCAGAAATGCTGCGATCTGTCGCAGCTCTGGTACCGAGAGTTCTATTTGGAAATGACCATGGGCCGCAAGGTCAACAAGTGCTTGGTGCGCCATCAGCACAACGAGGAGTGCAAGGATTTGATAACCATGGAGAAGCGTATACAGTTCCCCATTGAGATGTCTATGCCGTGGATTCTCACCGATCATATTCTGCAAACGAAAGAGCCCTCCATGATGGAGTAAGTAAACAGGGCGTATGATCTACGCCTCAGAATCCATCTAAGCATGTTTGTTTCGTTCCATAGGTTTGTCCTGTACCCGTTGGACCTTTACAACGATTCGGCACACTATGCCCTAACCGTCTTCCGCAAACAGTTCCTCTACGACGAGGTAGAGGCCGAGGTGAACCTATGCTTCGATCAGTTTGTCTACAAGTTGAGTGAGCAGATCTTTGCCCACTATAAACAATTGGCTGGCAGCATTTTCTTGGACAAACGTTTCCGCCTAGAGTGCGAGGTGCTCGGCTTCAATTTCCAGTCGTATCCACGCAACAATCGCTACGAAACTCTACTAAAGCAACGACATGTCCAGCTATTGGGTATGTGAAATATATAAGTGCTTTTGTCTAGGCACCATTAATGTGCGGGCCTTTGCTTTTCCAGGACGATCCATTGACTTGAACAAACTGGTCACCCAACGCATTAACGCCAATATGCACAAGAGCATTGAGCTGGCCATCAGCCGCTTTGAGGCCAATGATATTACGGGCATTGTGGTAGGCTGAATAGATTAATATTTGCATATATGTATATCGATCTCTCACACTCAATACATTTGCAATGCAGGAACTCGAGGGCCTTTTGGAGGCGAATCGCATTTGTCACAAATTGCTGAGCAAATACTTGGCGCTGGACAATTTCGATGGCATGGTCAAGGAGGCTAATCACAATGTCCTGGCCCCCTATGGTCGGATTACGCTGCATGTGTTTGTGGAATTGAACTATGATTTCCTCGTCAATTACTGCTATAATGCGGCCACAAATCGGTGCGTTTACAATCTATCCATCTACATATATTGTTTGAGTGGCATATTAATGGTTCTGTCTATTTAGGTTTATACGCACCAAAGTGAATTTGTCATCGACGCAGCCCATTCAGCGTGAGAAGCCGCCACAGATGTCACACTACTATCTGTGGGGCTCGAAGCAGCTGAATGCCGCATACTCCACGCAGTATGGACAGTACACTGGTTTCGTTGGATCGCCGCATTTCCATGCCATGTGCCGACTGCTTGGCTACCAGGGCATTGCCGTTGTCATGGACATCATTCTGAAGGACATTGTCAAGCCGCTGATCCAGGGCTCGCTGCTGCAGTTCACCAAAACGCTCATGATTGCCATGCCCAAGTCTTGCAAATTACCACGCTGCGAGTACGGATCGCCCGGCGTACTCAGCTATTATCAGGCTCATTTAACGGACATTGTGCAATATCCGGACACGAAAACCGAGCTGTTTCAGTCGTTCAGAGAGTTTGGCAATTGCATCATCTTTTGCCTGCTGATTGAGCAGGCCTTGTCCCAGGAGGAGGTGTGCGATCTGCTGCATGCGGCCCTCTTTCAAAATATTTTCCCCAGACCCTTCTGCAAAGGTGCGTAGAATTCCACTCTTAGCTGGAAATTTATTTCTATATTTGTGTTTTGTGTGTTTTGCAGAAAACGAGAAACCTGAAGCCAAACAAAAGCGTCTGGAGGCTCAGTTTGCCAACTTGCAAATCGTCTCGAATGTGGAGAAAATAGGCACTGCCAAGGTAAGCAAGCAGTAGACAAACTGGTGATGCCTCGATTTTTTGTTAACTGCTAACTGAAATTCAATCTACAGCAAGCCATGATAGCCCGCGAGGGGGATTTACTAACACGCGAGCGCCTGTGTTGCGGCCTGAGCATATTTGAGGTGATACTCAATCGAGTGAAGAGCTACCTGGACGATCCAGTGTGGTGTGGCCCGCCACCAGCCAATGGCATCATCCATGTGGACGAGTGCTCCGAGTTCCATCGCCTGTGGTCGGCCCTGCAGTTTGTCTATTGCATTCCTGTGCGTGGCACAGAGTACACGATTGAGGAGCTCTTTGGCGAGGGTCTCAACTGGGCTGGTTGTGTCATGATCGTGTTGCTGGGTCAGCAGCGACGCTTTGAGGCGCTGGACTTTTGCTATCACATTTTGCGAGTGCAACGCGTCGATGGCAAGGACGAGGATGTTAAGGGAATTGTAAGTTGTCGCTGAGTGAAGTTTGCTTGGAAAAATATATTAAATTTTACTTCTTTTCGATTGCAGCAGCTGAAGCGAATGGTGGATCGTATTCGACGGTTCCAAGTATTAAACTCACAAATCTTCTCCATTCTCAACAAATATCTGAAGGGCGGCGACGGTGAGGGCTCAAATGTAGAGCATGTGCGATGCTTTCCACCGCCACAGCATCCATCGGTTATATCCTCGTCGTCACACTACCAGGATCCACAAAAGCTGCGCCAGAGCATGAACAATTGAGGCACACATTTTAGCCGAAGATGCATTTAAGCCAATCAATCGTATACAAATAAGTTATACTTAATCACAGTTTATATCGCCGTCGGGAAGCGCAAAAAATCGCAAAAATCGCAATCGATGTGATGATAGCCGCGTAGAGCCAATCCCCAAACCCTTCTTGGCCCTCTCTATGCATCATGACAAAATGTTTGCTTAGATTTGGTCTTAATTGATTTCGATTATATTATTGATTGAACATGTTTACTGGTATCGTATGGTATGGTATGTCGTACAGTATGTCAAATGTATTATGCAAGCAATTATATATTTACTAGATATAATATTGATTCCCCCCCACCCACTCCCCCCAGCTACATACATATGGCGTTCTATTTAACTCTACTCGTATATTATCCCAAATACTCTACTGTAAGAACGAACCCTAAGATATTATGTTTGGCCTACCAATATAGAAGAACATTCTTAAAATTCTTAATTTTGCTTTTGCTCCACGATTTGAGAATCAAATTAGCCAAAGAATTGCAAAGCGCAGCAGAACGGCAAAAAAAGATAAACAAACGAATTGGCTTTAAATACAATCGAAAGTATTACAGAAATAGATGCAGCGAACGAAAAGAAATCAATACATACTCGTACTATACTTATTTAATGGAAGATATGGACAGCCAGGACAGCCAACACTTACACACACAAGACACACACACACACATACACTTTTAATACAATGAACTTTATCGAATAAAATTTTCATACGTATTTCTAACAAACCCCAAAACAAAACAAAAACGATCTTACTTTTACGCATGGAATTGGATACGTGTGAGCATACTCGTATATGTATTTAGGAATGAATCTTGTGAATAGTTTTTTCTTAGCACTTGCAGGACTCTTTGGCCACGCCATTCCCCGTTGGGGCTTTGCCGCTTTTGGAGATTGTGTGCAATACTTTAAAGTTGTCGGAATAGTTGCGTGGCAGGTCAAAGCCGGCACTGTCCGCACCCAAATAGCAGGCACCGTAGGCGCTGCTCTTGGTGATGCGCATCAGCTTGAGATTAAACTTGAGGTTCGTCTTGGCTAGCTCTTTGGTGAAGGCCTCTTGCAAAAGGTTCCAGCTGGACCACACCGAACCAACGCATACGACACTCAGGTCGCCCGACTGGACGAGATCCTTGTGCACATTGGGCAACAGGGCCATGATCATGCGGGCCAAATGCACGCCAGCCTCGCGGAAGAGACTCAACGCCAGTTCGTCGCCGTTATCCGCATTTTGGGCCAGTTTCTTGCACAGATTGGCAAAGAAGGGCTTATCGAACTTGGCATAGCAATGGGTCAGCATGTCGTAGCGCGTCTCAATGCTGAAGTGCTCCTTGATCAGGGCCCAGGTCTTGTCGACAGGAGCCGGCGCCTTCTCGAAGTTATCCATGTCATCAAAGACAACCTTAACGGCGCGATAGGAGATGTACCAGGCTGCGAATGACAGAAGATGAGGGTTCGCATTATTATTAACAATCAACAATAACAGCAGCAGCAGCAGCAGTGGCAATGAGTCAGTGGCAATCAACGCTGCTATCAGACAATCCAAATCGCAATTGATGCGCATAATCTGAGCATTGAAATCTAATAAACAGACACAGTTCATTAGCTGATAGCCCGGATTACACTCACCGCTGCCCTCGTCCCCAAGGAAATTGCCCCATCCGCCGCAGTTGGAGGTGGATGCGTCTGGATTGCGCAGCAGACAATTGGAGCCGGTGCCCGAGATTAGCACCATTCCGCCGATGGAGGAGGCAGTGTACATGCTGCCCATGGTGTCGCTAGAAACAGCATAGCTCTCGGCCAAGTTGGGGAATGTGGTGCGCAGCTCCTGCTCCAGCTCTCGATTGGTGGCTTCCTGTTGCGAAGCATTAATACTGGCATGCACTTGCCTCTTGGCAGAGAGAACTCACCTGCTCGCAGCCACTCAGACTGAGACCCAAACTGGTTAGGGCAATCTCTTTCGATATGTTGGCCTCCTCCTTGGCCCGCTCGACCATGTCGGCGATGCGACGTGCGCATTCCGGTATGCCAATACCCCAGTGGTTGGTGCCCAGGCCACTGGTAGAGCCCACAGACTGGCCGCTTTCATCGCAGATGACCAGCCTGGAGTGCGTTGCACCGCTGCAATGGACAGGACGGAGACAGAGTAATGGGAGTCATTAAACCTGATCTATCATTCCCATCCGGAAGCACACTTATTCTTACACAATAGGTGTGTGTTGTGTCTTTCAAGTGTCATGACCGGCGAACAATACAGCCAGTTAAATCAAATTAAATTAACAATGCCAGCGACTGCAAATTTGAAATGAACTTTCAATTGATAAATGAATTCATTTAAGAAACGTGTCCACACGCACAAATTGGATTGGACAAACGCGGAACACGGAGAGATCTCCCAATTAAACTATTCTCAGATGCGGGTAAATAGAAAGAAAGCCTGGCCTGTGTCTCCAAATAAGAGATAAGATAAGCATAAAATAGGGGCCCACAATTACCGTTACTTTGCCACACACCACACAGTACAGCGAGGAGTGCAACAGAGATAACGCGATTGCGAAAATGCATTGCATTGCGCTTAATGCGCTCAATTGAAGCAAACTGTTTGTGGGTGTGATGGCTTGGATAATAAAGAAGCTTATAATATCGCTCTTATCGCTAATATTAACTAGTATTCTAATTTATTATACCGCTGCTTTCCATTCAAACTAGTGTTAGTGTTAGGTAGTGACGTGACACATACAGTTAATCTGGCAACGCCGCAGTGACCTTGGTTAGGGCGGCCAGATCGATTTAGTTATTATCAAACAGCTGGGGCGGATGAATTTATTTTTTAATTTTTTGTGGCGAAAAGTATTTAATGTTCAGTTGACTGTTCAATTTGCGGTCGCTCCCCTAATCTTACATGAATGTCGGGCAATAAAAAGTTTAATTAATCAACATGAAACTGCTGACAAACGCACAGAAACTGCTGCTGCTGCTCCGCCGCCAAAGGTCGTCAAAAACAACAACTACAGTTCAAGCACATGATCCCACAGCGGCAGGGCAACCGGCTCTAACCAGTGCCCAACTGGATGAGCTGGAACGGAATGCGAAGCTGCGCCATCACAAAAACAACGTGCCCCTCATCCGCCAGCTGATCGAAGCCTCCGTGGGCGGTGATCGGAGCGTGGAGCTCCAGTTGGAGGCGGAACTGGGGCACTTGCCCAATGCCACACATCCGCGTCTGCTGGACTACGGGGATCAGCCGCGGGAGCTGGCCCAGTACGTGCATCGGGAGATGCCACCCAAGCCCAAGGAGTTCTCGGAGCTGGCTCGTGCTCTGAACTTGTATCGCATGGATCACCTGGGAAACTATACGGGCCACAAGAGCTACTACCTGACCGGACAGTTGGCCACGCTGGAGCAGGCCATAATACAGTATGCCCTCGAGTCGGTCACAAAGCATGGCTTCCAGCTAATCTCTGTGCCGGACATACTGCCCAAGGAGGTGATTGAGTCGTGTGGCATGCGCACCGAAGGTGAACGCACCCAAGTCTACAAGTTGGACACGGGCGAATGTCTCTCCGGGACATCGGAAATGGCGCTGGCCGGATTCTTTGCCAATAAGTTGCTGGCCGAGGAGGAGCTCCCCCTCAAGGTGACCGCCGTGAGTCGGTGCTACCGGGCCGAGACATCCGGGCTGCAGGAGGAAAAGGGCATTTATCGGGTGCATCAGTTCACCAAGGTGGAGATGTTCGCCATCTGCACTCCCGGTCAGTCCGAGGCCGAGCTGGAGGAGTTCAAGAACATTGAGCTGGACCTGTTTAAGCAGCTGGGCATCAACTTTCGACTGCTCGACATGCCGCCCTGTGAGTTGGGTGCGCCGGCATACCAGAAGTACGACATAGAAGCGTGGATGCCTGGTCGCCAGATGTGGGGCGAAATCTCAAGCTGCAGCAACTGCACAGACTATCAAGCCAAGAGGCTGGGCGTCAAGTACCGCCGTGCCAGCGATGGACAAGTTGTGCATGCGCACACCATCAACGGGACGGCGACGGCCATACCACGTCTGCTGATTGCCCTGCTGGAGTCGTACCAGAAGGAGGACTCCATTGAGATACCCACAGTGTTGAGGCCTTTTATGGATGGACACGAGTTTATCACCAGAAACAAAAGAATACCCGAAACGAAGCTGGTGAAGTTCATAAAAGCGGCCTAATCTTTACACCTTTTTTGTGTATAGTAAATTTCCGAGTCTAAACACTTCGCTGAGGCATGGTTTGTGTTTCAAGTGCTTCGCCTAAGGACTGTCTACGAGATGCAAATGATAACTCTTGGCCTAATCAATTGTTATCACGAATTGCTGGAATTATTTACCCTTCGACGCCGCCGAAATATTTCATTTTAAATGGTAGCTGTGGCACTTCTGGTATTCCCAACTGGAATGCTTGTTGGTTCAGATGAATTGTTTATCAGCGCACACACAAGTCCTGTAAGAAGAAAATAAACACGATTAAGCCATAAATAATTGCCTGATTAATGCTGCCGCCCTCCAAACACAAACAACAGCAGCAACACATCAACGGGTTGTTAATTATATCTTATCGAACTTCATAAATCCAAAGCATTTGTCAACCCAACCCAACTCAGCGACAAAGAATCCGCTGACGGATGAAAATCGGAAACTTTAACCGAAATGGACAACAGGGGGTCAACATCCACTCCGCTCCAGCTGTGGGTTGCATGCGCATAAAGAATGCCAAATATTTTGCTGTCCGACGGTCTATTAAAATTCCACACAAAGCATGTTTCACTGTGTTTGAACGCGAAGTGAGAGTGAAAATTGTTTGAGGCACAAAACAAGTTTTTAACGAAATTCCCGCTCACTTTTGTTCAGCGCTTCGTAACCTTTTCCGTTTCAATCTTTTGCCTACGTCGCTTCGTAGTTAATTTTGTTGTTGTCATTTTGTTTGGATGGGCACATGGCAAAACACCACACCCACAAATCCACTACACACTACACACACATTACAGTTGTTGATTAGGAGCGGAGAATAATTAATATTGTTATTATTCACACGCGCCCACCGCACCAATTGCAGCTCTTACCCGGCAAAGCTTATTTCGCTGCTGTTTGTTGTTCGTCCGCGCTGGGCAAAGCCTCAAAACAAAATAAGACCTCTGGTCGCCAGCATATTCATTTAAACTTTAGCGCGTCCAATCTTTGTGATGATATTCGTTTTATTCAATTAAATCAGCTGGGGCGGCAGTGTTGAGCAGCGTTTAATTTTGTTTAGTGAATGAATTTTAGTGAATGACACTAAAAGCCGTTCGTTCCATATGTGAATCGTTTGCTAGCAAAAATCTGCAGCATGAATTTATTTAAATAAATACAACATTAACATTACTTTTTAGCCTTGTCTTTGTCCTTGATCGTGTACTTGTCGTAGGTTTTAGTGGGATCGTAGGGCTCCCAACGGCTGGCAGGGAATATGTGTTTGTTGCGTTCGTACCACGAGCGGAGAAGCACCTTGCCGGCATGAGACTCTTCCTTCTCCACGGAGGCATCACTTATCATGCGCACATCGTCATGGACATCGAACTGGAACAGTGGACCGGATTTGCCGCGAGCCTTCGTCACGATAAAGTCGTAGAAGGAGTAGTGGTGGGGCAGTATCAGATCCTCCTTCACGTACATCAGCTGGTCGGCCATGACCGTCTTCAGCTCGATGAACTCTTTGCGCAGAAGTTCCAGACATTTTTGGTGGAACTGGTAGATGGAGTTGCCCTTCTTCATTTGCACATTGCGACGATGGCCGGAGCCGTCCCAGTAGCTGAATGTGATCGAGATGTCCTCGTCTTTGAGCTCCGCCTGCTGCATTACCCACTCCTGGCGGAGGGTCTCGCGCAGTCGATTCTCCTGCTCTTCGCGCTCACGATCGGGTAGGAACGAGGTGTCCACATCTGGATTTTTACAGATTTTCTTCCTTTTGATGGGCAAGATCTCGTCTTGCATCTCTGTCCACTTGGCCGCTTTCGGCTTGTCCTCCTCTTCCTTATCGCTTGTGTGTTCTTTGTCGTCGTCGTCGGCCTTCTCGTCGTCGTCATCCTCGTCTTCATCGGCCAGATTGAAAGATAATGCTTGAATCTGTCGCTTCTGCTTGTTCTTCTCGGCCTGAATGGCCTCCAGGGCGCGCTGTTTCTCGCGGTCCTTCTCGTCCTTCTTTTGTGCCAGCTTTTTCTCCCGTTCGCGTACTATGTCCTCCTGCTTTGCCTTCATCTCATCCAACGTGACCAGACCGATGGTCGAGGTCTTGAGCTGCTGCTCCACTGCATCGTAGTGAGTGGCGAACTTGTTCTCAATCTTGTCCAGCTTCAGCTCCTCCTCAATTTTCTTCTTGCGAAACTCGATCTCCTGCAGTTGTATCTCGCGCTTCTTCATCAATTGGGCGGCTCGGCCCGCCTCGCTGGCGGCACCCTTGTAGTGGGCCATGTTTTAGGCTCGTTTTTGGTAAATGAGATAAAATTAAAATAAAATTATTTTGATTTGTTTTGCTTTGCCTGAAGTGTGACCAGAGTGACCGTGACGATAACGATAAACGGCCCAAAAACCAGGGCAGGGCGACTAAACGAGACTTAACCCACTTAGCACCCCTCTATTTAAAAAGTTAAGCTCCCTTTAATAAACCGCGGAAAATAAACTGTTTGTAAAGGCTCTTTGTAGCTCCATACTCCTCTTTACCTCCAAAAAAAAAATGACCACCGACATCTTTCCCCTGTAATGCGTAAAATATGTTAAAGTTCCATAAATTTCGTGGAAATATTGAATGGTCGACAATGGGCTAACGTTCTTTTTTATTTATATATATTGATGATATATTGTATTCCATAATTTTGATATTTAGTTTAATATTACTAGCTAGTTGGCCCTCTCAGACCTAAATAAATAAACAATGAAAACTAAGCGTATGGAAAAATAAATCTACGTGCCATACGCATTACACCACGAAAAAGAGGGAAAGTCACCACGAAAGCGCTCTCTTCACCACGAAAAAGTGAGCAAATTTTGAAAAACCACCACGATTTGAGAGCGAAAAATGTCTGTATATTTTGTGCGCTAAATGGAGTTTGGCGGTCATTTCGAAAATGACTTTAATATACCTTAAAAAATAGATTGGAACTTGATTAAATATAGTTTTATATACCAATATACCGTAAGTATACTTTGAACTCGATTTCAACGTCACTTAATCAACATATCGATACACGTTTTGGTGCAGTAATTATTGGTGCGATAGGCGGCACTAGCTTTTAGTGTTGGAAAACGCAATCCCTTGGTATAGCAGCCATCTACTGTCAGGGTGCAATTTGTCAGTTAACTTTGGTTTGAAAAAAGCTTTTTGTCCTTTAAAGTCCTTTCAATCTGCGACGCCACTTACTAATGTTGCAGGCAACATGAGGACTAACGGCAACATTTAAAGCGGGCGTATGGGCCATCCTTGCCGCCCTAATCTTTGTCGGGCCGCGGACAAGAAAACACATCAATAGTGTCGGAGTTTTTTCGAAATTTATCAAAGGTGTTCCGTTGATAAATCCCACAAAAATATCCATATTGATACTTTCGGCAAATATATTGTAATAAAAATATATATTCGTATATTATTATCAGTACGTATTCAATATTGGTTAGATCGGAACATTCAAACTCATTGGATGAACGCGCGCAATCGAGTAGCTCGCCGAGAAAGTGTTTCAAAAATGGTTCGAATTTAAAAACAGCAGTTAAATGGCCTGAGTGAATTGTAACGTGTAATTAGCCAGAAAACAGAAACTAAAAGCCCTAAGGCTCCTATTTACATTTGGGCAGGACAGGGGGCATCGTGGGAGAGTGTGTTTGGTTGGGTGGGTGCGTGTTGTGTTGTGTTCAGAAAGCGCCTGTTCTGTTCTGGCAATGGGCAAGGACATTAGGGACAAAAAGCAGTGCCAGCGACTGGCAATGGGCGATGGGCGCCAGCGTCGCGCTGTGACAGGCGTTGGAGGGCGAATGCGGAAGTGCCAAATTGAAATGCCATTTAAGCTAAGCGAATGACTTCCCCGAAGTCCCTTCCGCATCCGTCCGGTCAACGTTGGCCCTACTGCACTCAGATTTCTGCTTGGCTAGCACTGCTCTGACTTTAGCTTGACGGCAACGAAGATGAAGCTGAAGACGAGAGGAGAACGACGACCACAGCGACGGCATGGATGAGGGATCCCCAGACGACACTTGGCGTCTGCGTTGGCGGTCTCTGTTCTTGACATTGATAATATTCATGAGGCCGAGTCATAAATTCATGCCCCCACTGCCTGTTTATGAGGATGCTGTTCTTTCCTTACGTTTCCACTTCAGCTTTCCCCTCTGTGTGCCCTTTACCTACCCACACCGCTGGTGGCAAGTCGGGTGAAGTACCAATAAAATCATTAACTGTTGCAACGCATTAAATTCATGGTCCAGACGCTTCTGTCGTTATCCAGGCAGCAAACATTGTCATAAAACTAGAACTCGTTGCTGGCTTATTTCATCTCACCCCATTCACCTCACCACCCTTGTACATAGTAGTGCCGCCCAATTCTCAGGACACTGCAGCTAATTGGTGGGGAGTCGGGGGCGTGCGAAAAACTATTAAAAGGCCGTTCGACTAAGCATCCTGAGCGATAATTAATGGCGACAATGACTTTATCGGGCGATAATTCATTTATTGGCATTTATATTGCCACACACAAACACAAACACACACCACACACAGAAAGTACACAAGCACACATGGAGGAGACTCAACAAGGAGCCGGACTTGGACTAGAATTGGAAGCCACGTAACCGGTACATGTCCCACGGGAGCAGAGCAGCCCGTAAATTGTCCGGCTGAATTCTTAAGCAATTCCGTGTACGAGAGCCCGCACGGTGCAGCCATCCTTTGGGCAATTGGCTTTAATTTCAGGGCTAGTAAAACAATGGGAAAGTTTTCTGTTTGCCCTGGCCAGCAACTGAATCAAACTTTTCCCCTCGACCACGTTCTGTTAGTTCTATTGTATTTGCTTGGCTTTGGATTTGGCAACTGCGGCTCTCACATGTCCCTCCGCATAGTTTTGGCCAAAAACTAGTTTGCCACTGGATTATGCTGGCCCACGACGACGACGTCTGACTGCGACTATTTGCATTTGAGCGAGGGAAACTCCTGCCAAGAGTTTACCAATTTTCTTAAGCAATTTTCGTCATTTGTTTTTGGCAGACAACTAAGAACTTGTGAAAGTTGCCAGAAACTTTTTTGGTTGCGCAAAGAAATCAAATGAAAATGATTAAAACTTAATTTGGAAATGGAATTAATGCAGAAATCGATAAGTAAAGCAGTTGGAAGCAGAGGTGGCATAGTCATTACGCAGATAGATGAGGGCGCATTAATGAAATTAAGGATACACGAGTATGTATAGATAGAAAAGCGATGGAATTAATGTATTTAAGGTTATCGATTGATGTGCCTTTGATTGAAACCATTAATACAGATATCACAGGGCGGTGTTTTTTTTTTTGTATTTATTTCAAGCAGCAATAAACCAGCCAAGTGCTTTGCTGCGGAAAGAATTTCCCTTTAATGAAATCCAATCAGTGGCCGCACTTAACTAAATGGGCAAATAATTTATTTTTACATTTGAATTGGCTTTGCAAAAAATATAATTAAGCGGAAATTCAATCAGCTTCTGTCCTAACCGCCATTTTTCCAACAAAATGAAATATTTCTCGTGTCACAACAAAGTACGTGTTTGCATTTCAATTTTATTACTCTATAATGCCATTCCTTGTTGATTGATACAAACAAACAAAAAAAAAAGAACCTCTTCCGCTTCATTGGACCCCGGTGAAGCGTTCCCTGCAGAAGACATTGACAATCTGTGAAACCAGGTGGACTGATGCCACACCACCTGCAACCCATCCTTCAGTTCCGAGCTTAAGTATTGTAGCCCAAGGTCCGGGCAATTAATAGTATAGCCACGATTTTCAACGGAATCCCCAAATCCCTTGCAGTTGGCCCTCTGGCGCTGATGAATCCCTTCGGGGTGGACAAGCTGCCATCTTGTCCATCTCTTTAGCTTCTATCTGGCAGTAACTTTTCGTTCGTCCTTGCACTCGTAAAATATACTTTGTTGGCTTGATCCTCACACTTTTTGCTGATGGTCGTCGCCGTCGCTGGCCTTGTCTTGATTTCTGAAATTGTTTTTACCCGCAATTCATGGGGTGGTCCCAAAAAAAACTTTTGGCATTGCGCGGTGCAAGTGCCGGCAAGTGGAAAACCAAAGAAACATACAACAACAACAACAACAAAAAAGGGGCAACGGAACGACAAAAAATTGACACAATTTAAACTTTTCTATAAGCAAAAGCAATGCTGAGCGGCAACAACCAGAAAAGGTTAGCCAAACGAGCCATTTGTTCCTGCTGCTATTTACTCGTACCTCCCCCCTTTTTTTTCTTGTTTTTTTGGTTTTTTGTTTTATCGCTCTCTTTGGCTGCGGTTCGGTTTTTCGTTTTTGGCAGTTTATTACAAAATACACACACAGACAGACACACACACACATAAGCATACGCTGCTACTGCTACTGCTGCTATTGGGTTGAATTTGTCAAAAGGAAAAAGGGAGCCAAGCTCGTTTCATCCTTTTTTTGTGTGCGGCTTTGCTTTCTCAATTTCGTTTAAATTGCGCACATTTGAAACAATTTGAGAGACGCATACATCCGCATACATCCGCACACACACACACACACATACACACATACCCTTTAACACACAGAAACACACCCACTCACACGCTTACAATTTTTACACCAGGCTGCATTTGGTGGCAGAGATTTATGCAAGCTTTTCATAAAGCTGACAACATGACGTATGATTAATATTCCCGCCTGTTCTCCTGATTGTTCTCGGGCTGCATTTAATTAAATACGAGTAGAGCCAAAATTGATTAAGTGCTCATTTCATGGGGCTTAGCAATAACATAATAAAGGCAGCCACGCCTCTCCAAAAATATATATAAAAATATCAAAATATACGACAAGGATGCTTGCTATTCCTGTGGCTTCAGCGTCCGCTCCTTGACAACTTGCCTAGCGACCGAAAATAATTTAAATTTCCACTAAAAATATAAACAAAAGCGCTCTAAAAATATCTTAGCTGCACGACAGCAAAACAGACGGACGGAAGTCGGAGATAACAATGGCTGTGACAATGGTGATGATGATGGCAGGGCTGCCTGTGAGGGGTGACAACAAATATTACGTATACGCCATGTACTCAATAAATTTGTGCATTTCATGACAATGACGTTGCAGGCAGCACAGCGTAGCGCAGCGCACACACGACATTTGACGATGTTGCGTGCTGCAAGCCTTCCTTGAATGCCAGTGTGTGTGTGTGTGTGTGCCTGACATTTCTTTGCTGCTTGCTGTTGGTGCTATTTTTGTTGCAATTGCTGTGCTGTCCATCGCACACACTCGTTCTGGTTCGTTTGTATGTGCTAAATGCCAACGTTCATTGCAATGCAATTAATAAAGATTGAACCA